GCCTATGTGGAAAACGTAATACCCTTAAAACTATTTCTATAATTAAAGTCAGTTTCCTGCACAAGCCATATTTAGCCAACACTTTCAAGGCAAGTTTCAGTGAAACGTCATGTCTCCAAACACAGCACAAAGCAATGAAACTCGTTCCTATTCACAAGGTAAAGGTTTTATACAGTAAGGCAGAGGCTTCACAAACAACACAACACTCCCACGCACATCACCGAGGATGGAATTCTCGGTGATGCCATTGCATCCTTTCGACCTCGGCATATTTTAAAATACTGTTTCAGATGCAGAGGTTACGTGGCACAGAAAGACTGTATGGGCCATCACGAAAGATTAATGTTGCCAAAGCTGAAGCAGCAATTTGATTGGGGCACTGCCACAGCGCCCTCCAGTGTTGCGAGAAATTTAAGAAACTGGAGGAGACCTTGGACGTCTCAAATACGCACGATGATTTATCTCCTCCGAGTTTAACGTACCCGGTGCCACAGTGCTAGGCGTTGAACTTCGGACGGAGCTGGGATGTCTGGCTACGAATGAAATCCGGTGCCCACTTCGATTCACCCAATTATTTTCAAACTTGGCGTTTTATTAAACACGTACAACAAAGTTATAGTTTTAAACTAATTCCATGGAACCCGAAGGTCATTATCGTACTCACAAGAGACCGTCACAGGACTATTCTGAATAATGAATCCACACTAATTCTACGAGATATACCGCAATGTTTTCTTCCCATCTATACTTAGGTCTCCCGAGTGGTGTCTTCCTTCGAGTTCTACAACTAAACTTTTGCACTCATTTCGGTATCTTCCCCATCGTGTCCCACATTTACATTTCAATATAATGCACATGAAAGGAATCAGGTCTACATACTGTTCTTCATCCACAGGGTTGAATACTAATACCTAGGGTAAAATTTTAATCCATTCATTAAACTTTGTTCGGAAAGCTATTTATTTTAAGAAGGCATTCTTTTGCCACGCTCAACTGTGAGCGAGTAACATTTTCTGGATTCGACCAGGGGCTCTCCTAGCAACCCTCATAATCCCAGGTCATTGTTTGAGCACACAGTTGCAACAGAGTAAACCGAGGGTGTTGTTGGAACACTTTTGCAACATTGTAAACACAATAGGAGCCAGGACCACAGTCTGCTCATATTTTTGCAATCACATTTCATAATTACCTTCGATACTAGTGATGCCTTCTTATTCCCTGACGTCAACGCTCGTGATGTGGCATGATGAGCGCCTTTGGAATTTGCGTCCTCCAAAGAGCATATACACCTTTCCAATCGTTAGCTGTTGTAATCGCCTGTGGTTGAATGTGTACTGTACCATCCGACCTAACTGAATCATGTTCAGGCGATATCTTAATTCGATTAAAACACCGCATTTCCAGCAGAGGATGTGTGGGGGCCCCTCACAGGTAGACCTTTCTCCACGGCACGCCGCACGGCAGCAAATAATTCCCATGCGCGAAGTATGAAAACAAATCGTCTAACGGCATCCCTGATGCCACTGATGATGACCTCTTGAGGTCGAAACGCGTATGGCAATAGTGTCCATAATAGTGTTAATAGTTGTTGGTTTTGTTCACTCTACATTATAATACGTTTTCACGAAGCTAACGATGGTCATGAAGATGGCTGTTTTCTTGGATGTTGCGCCGTGTAGTCTGGTAGATGCCGACAGACGTTTATCAGAGGTGCTTACCGCCTCCATCGCCCTGATGGAGACAGTAGAAAGCTTTAAAACGTCAGTCACCATCTACCAGACTACACATTACAGCACACCAGAAGGCAGCCATCTTCATACTCGTCGCTGTATATGGACATATAACCCGATCACTGGAAAACTGACATAAAAATAACACAGAGTCGCAGTTTCTTTCGCGCTGTTATCACAACACAGGAAATTAAAGCTTTGTATGTTTATTTACAGATAACATTTTACGAAATAATCGTTCCATAAACCGCAGTTCTACCACTGAAATTTACCGACTTAAGATTACGTCAGGTTCTATTATTAACCGATGTTATGATCTTGAAAACAATGCCAAGTGCTCATTTATCAAGGTGGGAATGTATCCGAGCCTTAACCCTCATTCTTCTCATTGTCTAACGCCACCCACTCAGAAACGGAGTTCTTGCAGTTCTTCAGCGTGAATGTTCTACATAGTTCTATGGCTTCTTTTGACGTCAGAATTCTTTCAGTTTTTCAACCAGTGCATGAAGCAAGGCAGACATATTACTTTCTGGTGGAGGGGGAGTAATAACTGGTCCGTCTTTGACTTATGGAATCCACTTTTAAGAACTGCAACAGACTATGGGGCAATGACGATAGGTTCCCAAATCCATAAAGTGGAACTACTACGATGTGACATAAATGTGGGCAGTTTTAGCGACAACTAGCCAAATAGACTCCACACCTTTTAAGGAACACAACAATAAAGCGTAGCCACACCCTACCAGTAGTTGGTATTTCACATCCACAGGCCACGTCTACTTGAATTAATTTTTGTTGAACGGTCTGACAATGAAAATATAATAGTGTTTTCATGAAAATTACTGAAAAGGAAAACAAATATATTAAATATCAACGTAGTATGGTCCATAAGAAGTTAAACGGGACAGAACTTATTCGGCAAATTCACTGCAGCATTACGTTTGCAAATCGTAATTAAAGTACGCATATAAAATGTCTTTCTAAAGTGAAACTTCATTAATCAAATGGCGTACAATTCACATCAGCAATACCTTTAAAATTATCACCGCAGGTTATATAACCGGAAGGTTCAAAGCTGTCGATACCATTGAAGGAGCTTGTTAAGATATAGTAACTAGAACTGATAGGCATTACACCTGAAACACGTTCTCGAATACAGTATCAGAATTTCAGGCAAAAGCTCTACACGTTTACGAACTACGTAAAAAAAACATCAACTATTCTCAATATTTACCACGTTTTCTTTACCACAATCATGTAGTATTACGAAAAACGGGGGTTAAAATTAAAAGTCAAAAAGTTGTTCAAAGTGAAGTTACATATATTTCATCATTCCGTTTACTGAACGAATCGAGTAAATAAAAGTCACG